GAAACAGAGGCCATTCTCCCAAACTCATTTTATGAGGCCAGCATCACCCTGATACCAAAACTAGACAAAGACACAACAAAAAAAGAAAACTATAAGCCAATATCTCTGATGAACACAGATACAAAAATCCTCAAAATACTAGCAAACAATACAGCAAAACATGAAAAAAACTGTACACCATGATCAACTGGTATTCATCCTAGGGATGAAAGGATGGTTCAACATACACAAGTCAATAAATGTGATACACCACGTCAACAAAATCAAGGACAAAAACCATATGATTATCTCAATAGACACAGAAAAAGCATTTGACAAAATTCATCATCCCTTCATGATAAAGACTTTCAGCAAATTAGGTATAGAAGGAAAATATCTCAACACAATAAAAGCCATATATGACAAACCCACTGCCAATACCATCCAGAATGCTTTCAGCTTTTCCCTTAAGAACAGGAATAAGACAAGGATGCCCATTCTCAACACTCCTATTTAACGCATATTGGAAGTACTTGCCAGAGCAATCAAGCAAGAGTAAGAAATAAAGGGCATCCAGATGGGAAAAGATAAAGTCAAACTGTCCCTTTTGCAAATGACATAATCCTATATACAGAAAATCCTAAAGACTACAAAAAAACTTAGAGCTGATAAACCGTTTAAGTAAAGTTCCAGGATACCAAACCAACATGCAAGAATGAGAAGTTTTTATAGGCCAATAATGAACTACAGAAGGAGCATTCACACAAGGAGAATCACCAGCAGAGATAAAGAAAAGAGGAGGATGTCTCTCTCCACAAAGCCCATTTCGGAGTGAAAGAAGAAGCATCTGCTGTACAATAACATTGGGGGACCTGATCACATCTCTCAGCATTGGATAGATAATCTAGGCAACAAATTAACAGAGCAACCATTATTCTTTCAGAAAGAGAGAAGAAATATAGGGTAATTAGAGGGGGGAGAGGGGAGGAAGGGGGGCTGGGGAGAGATTGGACAAGGGGCAAAAATAATAATTACGATTTTTAACAATATATATGTTAGTAATATTGATTTGATCAACATTTCTCAATGTTCAACCCCCAAAATATGTATAATCAATTTTGATTCAATAAATAAGTTAAAATAATAATAATAATAATAAATTAAAAAAAGAAAGTAAGCCTATGTACAATAGTTGCCAAAAACATAAAAAACCTAGGAATCAACCTAACCAAGGAGGTGAAAGATCTCTACAATGTGAACTACAAATCACGGCTGAAAGAAATTAAAGAGGCTACAAAAAGATGGAAAGACATTCCACACTCTTGGATTGGAAGAAATAAAATTGTGAAAATGTCCCTACTAACCCAAAGCAATCTACAGATTCAATGCATCCTCCTCAAAATACTAATGCCATTCTTCACAGAAATAGAAAAAACAATCCTAACATTCATATGGAACAACAAAAGACACTGAACAGCCAAAGCAATTCTGAGCAATAAATAAATAAAGCCAGAAGCATTATGTTACCTCACTTCAAATTATACTGCAAAGCTATAGTAACCAAAACAGCCAAAACAGCATGACACTGATATAAAAACAGACACTCAGACCAATGGAACAGAATAGAAAACCCAGAAATCAACCCACGTAGTTACAGGCAACTGATCTTTGACAAATGTAACAAGAATATACATTGGTGAAAAGACTGCCTCTTCAATAAATGGTGCTGGGAAAACAGGACATCCACATATAGAAGAATGAAACTAGACCCATACGTCTCAACATGTACCTTAATCAACTCCACATGGATGAAAGACTTGAATATAAGACCTGAAACTATAAAATTCCTAAAAGAAAACATAGGGGGAACACTTCAGGAAGTAAGACTGAATGAAGGATTTATGAATAAGACCCCAAAAGCAGAGGAAACAAGTGAAAAAAACAAACAAATGGGATTTTATCAAACTAATAAGCTTATACACAGCAAAAGAAAGAATTAACAGAGCAGAAATACAACCTATGGAATGGGAGAAAATATTTGCAAACTATGCATCTGACAAAGGATTAATATTCAGAATACACAAAGAACTCAAACAACTCAACAGTAAGAAAACAAATAATAAATGGGGAAAAGTGCTGAATAGATATTTCTGAAAGGAAGATATATAAATGGCCAACAGACACATAAAAAAAAAGTTCGATATCACTAAGCATCACGGAAATCCAAATCAAAACAGCACAGAGATATCATCTCCCCCAGTTAGGCTGGCTATGATCAAAAAGACAGAGAATAACTAATGCTGGTGAGTATGTGGAGAAAGAGGAACCCTCCTCCACTATTGGTGGGACTGTAAATTAGTGCAGCCATTATGGAAAACAGTATGGAGAATTCTCAAACAACTACAGATAGAACTGCCATATGATCCAACCCAAAGGAATGGAAATCCTTTGTCAAAATCATCATGTCAAAGGGATACCTGCATCCCCATGTTTACCATAGCTCTATTACAATAGTCCAGAGTTGGAACCAACCATTCATGTACAACTGGATAAGGAAAATGTGGCATATACACACCATGGAATACTGCTCTGCCATAAAAAAGAATGAAATCCTGCCATTTGCAGCAACATGGATGAACTTACAGGAAATTATATTAAGAGAAATACCACATGTCCTCACTCATAAGTGGAAGCTAGAAAAATAAACAAATTAATAAAAAAAGAAAGAAAGATACAACAATCATAATAATCTGTTGAACTTTCAAAAGGATAGAACAGAACAGAGGCCACCAAAGGTGAAAATTGGAGAGGGAGAGAGGAGTTAGTGAGAAACTGGTAAAGGGCTATGAATAATGATTACATTGTGTAATGTTGAATATATTAATTATCCTCATCTGAGCATCATATATGCACACAGGTATTGATATTCAATGTTGTAAACCACAATCAGTCATATTCCAATTAAAAAAATAATCTATGCAATTCAGAAAAAAAAAGAAAATGAAAAACGGTGTACAGTTGCCATAAAATGAGTTTGGCAGTTCTCAAAATTTAAACATAGAATTACTGTATGAAGCAGCAATTCTACTCCTAGATATGTATCCAAAATAATGGAAAACAAGCATTCAAACAAAACATTGTACGGAAATGTTCACAGTAGCACTATTCACAAGAGCCAAAATGTGGAATCAACCCAAATGTTTTTTAACTGATGAATGCTTTAAAGAAATGTGGTAATGATAGCCATAAAATGGAATATTATTTGGTCATAAAACGGGAGGATGAAGTACTGGCACATGCTACAATATGGATGAAATTTTAAAACATGCTAGGTGAAAGAAGCCAGGCACAAAAGGCCAGGTATTACATGATTCCTTTTATATAAAATACCCAGAATTGGTAAGTCCATAGAGAAAGAAAGTGGATTAGTAGTTGCTTAGGGCTGGTGAGGAGGGAGGATAGGGGTATAAGGAAGTGATAAGCCAAGGGGATGATAGCTGAAAAGGTATAAGGTTTCATTTTGGGGTAACGAAAATATTCTAAAATTGACTGGTGATGGGCACACATATGTGTAAATATACTAAAAACCATTCAATTAAACACTTCAAGTGGATGAATTGTATGGTACGTGAATTACATATCAATAAAGTTGTTTTTAAAAAGATAATAATTATAGAAGAATTAATTAGTAAGTACTTCTTGTACCCCAAGTACAAGTTCTATGGCAGTCCACCTCATAGCTTTATATTTTTGTTAATACCACCCACTGCTTTAACCAATTCCTTAAATTTTGTCATAAACATAGAAAAGTTATTTCTTAATGTACAATCGATTTTTCTCATTTTTGTCCAGATAAAATTATCAAAATAACTAATCACATAAAGAATGTTCTGTAATTAATAATCCCTAGCATTACTCTGTAATTACCCTTAGTAAACTTTCTGTCTCTGTAAGACACGGCACATATCACACTCGATACTTGTCTGTTACGATGTCGAAGAAAAATAGGCCAGTGGTGTATCATAACACCTGTAGATGAGCAAACCTCTTACTGCAGAGGATTACTGTATTTTGAGATGGATGAGAAAACTGAGAAGGGGAAGAACATTTATCCAAGCATACAACAGGGCATGAATGGTACCTGGCTATTTATTGGGTACACATACACACCACTTTGGTGACTGGAAGCCTCTTCTTTAATAGAGTCTTACTAGAGCACTAAAGCAGTGACATAGAGAATTATGGCTATTGTTCTACTACAGAAGTCTACACTTCGCATAGCTTTCAGCACAAAGTGCCTGTTAGCCTTATAGGGAAGAGGAGTAATCGAGACTAAAACTAAGTAGAATGAACTTTAAGAACAGGAAGAACAAGTTGGGATGATGCAGCCTATATGTAAAAGGTGTTCTGGAGAATATACAAAGAAACCAAATGTCTTTTCAAAGTATACTATAAATCATTAAATAAAAAATAAGTTTGAGATTTTTTTAAAATGTTATTGAAACCTTCTCTCTACAAATTTACAGACGTGACAAAAAGATCAGAGTGGATTCCTAAAGAACCACCTTTTTATAACATTCAGAAGAGCTTGTGTGTCTAATAAATTAAAATTATATACCATATATTAGGATCGTAGATCTAAGGTTTAAATAAAATTATTTTCAAAACAAAAGACGACCTACCATTATATGTTCAAGTAGAGAATCTATTGCGACTATATTGTCAAAATAAGTTCTGAAAAAGAGAAACATAAATCCTGTAAGTAATCTCATTTAGATCACAGTATATTTTAAACTTTGAATACATTTCCTGCTTTTGTTTACATTTAAATAAAAAACATAGAGATACATGTTATTTGATTTTTGTCCTTTTGTATAAACAATTATTGATATCATTTTAAAGAGATAAATAAAACTTTATCCTTAACTTTAGCATAAGGACTCTAATTCCAAAGGAAGCATTTAGTAATTATTTTACTGCTAAGTACCAACATAAAAAGTTTGTAGCAATGAACTAAAACTATGCAGGAATAAAATTGGGTACACAACTTTTATTATTTTTACTAATAACTTTGATCTGAAATTAAAATATTTAGATTTGCTAAGTCTCTATAATATGGTTAAAATGTAAATTATAACTAAAAAATTGAAGAAAGTTAAATTTAGTTTAACTGTCTTGAGAAAGTAATATAATTCATTTGAGACGAAATATCAGAATACAAGTAATGATAAGGATCTAATGACTTTACCTAAGTAAAATATATATTTATTATTACAATGGCAAGTAAATGTCTTAGAGGAATATGGTATATATATCGAAATGTAAACCTGATAAAAAAAAAAAGGAAACCAATAGGCATGCACTATAGGGAAAATGTAAAGTACTCTTAATAGGGGCTCTACTCTCAGTTCAGGTTCATGTAAATTTAGCAATGTACTCGCAATTAATTAATTTATAGCAATAAAAACTGCTTTATTTAACAACAAATTATTTAGCTTGAAGTCACTGAGATACAGAACACACTTCATTACATTGTACACTGAAGAATACCCTATAAGAAAGACGGTGACGTAAATGAATTTCCCACGGGGGGGGGGGGAACAGGAGGAATATATTTAAAGTGTCACATGAGATATTTAGTTGACTATGGAAGACTTGAAGGATATTCAAATACATTAGCAAAAGAAACTACACAACTTTCCTTTCTACATGTTTTGAAGTAATATTAGCATGTAGCTCAGAGATATTACATCTAATTTGGTTTGAAAGAAGATAGTTGGCTTAGGTGACCAAAAGATAGTTTTACTTGCATACTTCTCTAACTATATATTTCAAAAAATAAATGTAACATGAACTATCAGCTTCAAACTAATTACTCATGAGAATTACAATACTTCTTGATGGGTAAATTGTTAAGTACTGCCACAGTGATACAGGAGAGACAACACGTAACACAGCTGTTGCTGGATGCCATGGAAGAACAGGTACATTCTTCCTTCAGTAAACTTTTAAGAGAACGTGACCCTGAAGTTACCACATCCTGGGGCATTTTTTTAGAGTTTAATGATTAATTAGATTGGTCAGATATATAGAAGATCTCCCCTGTAGCAAGCAATACCAATATGAACCTAGAATTTAGTAAATATCTATAATTGCTTCCACTGCCAGGAGTTTTTCTAGGTCAAACTTCAGGGAAACGAAACACTTTTTCAAAAATTATATCTGAGATACTATACGTGGGAAAATTTAAATAATAATGTTAATAATACTATTTAATTTACAGCCACTGTTGGAAAATGCCAAAGAGGACTTCTGGAAAAAAATAACTAGAAAATTTCCTCTCCTATTGCTGTCAGTATTCTCCTGCAAAACGGAGATACTCAGTGTCTTAACATGTATTGAGAGAGTCTATTTAGAAATGCACATCAAATTGAAAATTAAGATCACATAGACATCTGCAATCCTTCACTTATAAAGTGAACATGGATGAGGATGCAACTCTATAGTACAAAATATGATTAACCATCCATCCCAGACTCCTTGTGCAAAGACCGATCTTTCAGTTATTGGCTGCAGTGAATAGCTGTCTATCACTGTCACTGACTGCACTTAATTTAAACTACTGATCAATAACAACTACTATAGCCCTAGAAATGAACACTTACTTTGATACGTCGAGTAGAAAGTCATTCAATTCAGTCTGTTTGGCAAGGCCTCTGCATACCTGCCATATAAAATAGTGGCTATTATCAGAGATTTCTGCTTATTTAAGAATAAAAATTCCAGAATATTATTTACCTTACTTATTGAAAAAAAGCCTAATGCAACCGCTCGGTTTATAACATAATAATGAAATCAATAACTATTGTTTATTGAATACTTAAATGTGCTAAACATTATTCTAAGCACTTAATACTTACTATTTCATTTAATCATCATAAAACACTATAGGTTTGGTATTTACGGTTTATAATTGAGGCATAAAAAAACTTTGAGAACTTTACTCAGTTTCCATTTTAAGAAGTGGTGCAGCCAGTCTTCAGATCAAGGCAGTCTAGCCCCAGCTGCTCTTTAGAACTACTTTAAACTATGCTTTAAAAACTTGCAGTTGGGCACATATTTCTCCTACGCTTGATGATCCAAGAAATCCTTGCCACTCATAGTATCATCTTACAACTCTATTTTTCTTCCTTTCATACAGTTCCTCATCAAATTGAGTTTGCTAAAATGGAATCAGAACAACAAAACAAAACGAAGGAGGAGGAAGAAGAAGAGGGAGAAAGAGGAAAGGAGGAAGGAGGGGACGGGGAGGAAGGAAGAGGATGAAAAAGAAGAGGAGGGAAGGGGGGAAGAGGGAAAAGAAAGGAGGAAGAGGTGGAGAAACAAAGCAGCACCATATTGCTGCCGTGCTCCTGAACATTACATGTTAGTTACCAGAAATACTCTAAGTAGCTTGTGATTTTTAAATTAGATAATATCTTCAAGAGAACGAAATATTTAAAGTTAAGAATAATGTTTTCTAAATCATTTAGTTTAGAGGACAATTTAATTTAGGAAATGGAATCATAAAAATACCAATGCAACTCCCAGTAGAAGATTGTTCCTACATTTTCAGTGGAAAAAAATAAACAACTAAATAAATAAAAATTTTTAGAAATAACAAAATATTCTAAAACCTAAAAAAGAAGCATTAGGTTACTTATTAATCCCTACTCGAGTCCCCAGTGCTGCACTCTAAATAGCTTTTCTCTCTTAGGAAGCCCCTGTAAAAACATCTCAAAGACTCACCTGCACCTGATGTATTGCTACTGAAGCCCAGGCAAGATTTGCTGTTGCAACCTAAATATATATATATATATATATATATGAAAAAAAGTTTTTATTAGATACATGGAGGCATTCCAGCAAAGAACTCTAACATAAATGTATATGAAGAATTTTTGAAGTCAGTAAGCTTTTGAAATTTTGTCAAACACAAAGCCCCAAATACTTACAACGTTTCTCTATTTTCCCCTTCTATTTAACTGAGTTTAAAAATCTCATTTGTCTAATTTTGGATACAAAGGATGATAAAAAATGATTGTTTAAGAGAGCTATGCCCAATGATTTTAACATAAAACGATTACTTTTCAGTTTAACAAAAATACTAATAAAAATGTCTCTAATGACCACTTTAAAATGATAAAATATATCTCAAAAGTAAAAATCTTGTGTATAGACTAGCTGACAAGGTCTCAAATTACTAGTTATTGTACTTTTCTTATTCATTCATTTAACAAATATTTCCTGAGTGCCTACTATGTAGCAGGCACTGCTGTAGGTGCTGCAGACACAGCAGTAAGCAACAACACAAAGTGGAAAAGCTTCAGTGTGTCGTGGGGACAGGGAACGGCAAGAGAGGAAGTACGTGCAGCTGAGTAATTAAGATGGTGACAGGTGCTATAAAGAAAAAGAAGCAGGACCAAGGAAAAGGAATACTGGACAGGGGACATTCAAATGTATATAAAGTTTTCAGGGAAGGCCTCACAGAGAAGTTGACACTTGAGGAAATCCCCAAAGGAGGCGTCTGTGAAGGGGACCACGCAAGCACAATCCGAGCNAGAAAAAGAAGCAGGACCAAGGAAAAGGAATACTGGACAGGGGACATTCAAATGTATATAAAGTTTTCAGGGAAGGCCTCACAGAGAAGTTGACACTTGAGGAAATCCCCAAAGGAGGCGTCTGTGAAGGGGACCACGCAAGCACAATCCGAGCAGAGGAAAGAGCAAATGCAAAGGCTCTGCCAGCCTCACCCAAGGGTCCGGCCTATTTAACTGAGTTTAAAAATCTCATTTGTCTAATTTTGGATACAAAGGATGATAAAAAATGATTGTTTAAGAGAGCTATGCCCAATGATTTTAACATAAAACGATTACTTTTCAGTTTAACAAAAATACTAATAAAAATGTCTCTAATGACCACTTTAAAATGATAAAATATATCTCAAAAGTAAAAATCTTGTGTATAGACTAGCTGACAAGGTCTCAAATTACTAGTTATTGTACTTTTCTTATTCATTCATTTAACAAATATTTCCTGAGTGCCTACTATGTAGCAGGCACTGCTGTAGGTGCTGCAGACACAGCAGTAAGCAACAACACAAAGTGGAAAAGCTTCAGTGTGTCGTGGGGACAGGGAACGGCAAGAGAGGAAGTACGTGCAGCTGAGTAATTAAGATGGTGACAGGTGCTATAAAGAAAAAGAAGCAGGACCAAGGAAAAGGAATACTGGACAGGGGACATTCAAATGTATATAAGTTTTCAGGGAAGGCCTCACAGAGAAGTTGACACTTGAGGAAATCCCCAAAGGAGGCGTCTGTGAGGGGGACCACGCAAGCACAATCCGAGCAGAGGAAAGAGCAAATGCAAAGGCTCTGCCAGCCTCACCCAAGGGTCCGGCGTGGCTGTAGTGGGAGACGGTCAGCTGGAGCAGCAGGGACAGGGTCATGCAGGTAAGTGAACAGGCATTAGGCCACTGCAGGGCCTTGGTTCATACTGAGTGTGATAAATGTGTAATTTTAGTATTTGGCTTTAGTATTAATGAGCCAACTCCAATTTTGTGAATAGTGAATGGAACTCATTGTTTTCCAAATGTGGTTGACACTGGAATCTTTTTTCAGGACACAAGCTAGGAAGAGGACATTTTTAAGAAGACATAAAGACAACCAGAATGTGGAAATTCTCCAAAGCCATCCACTACTTTATTTGCTTCACGGTGTGGCATACTTGTTATTGTTAAAATGAAATCTTAAAAACAAAAAAAAATGAATGTAGTTCTAATTGTATCCGTTTCCTCTCTAAACAACTGCAAAACAAACAAAAAAAACCCCTGAAAAATCATTAGTATTAGTATCAAAACACTATTAAGCAAATTGTGATTTTAAAGGAGCTAGCACAACTAAAAATGCTAACAAGCAAAGTTTAAAACTTCACCTCCTGATGACTGAGACAGAAGGCTTCTTTGCCCCAATGCCGATACAGTTCAAGAATACCAATCAAATCACCAATTGCAGTGACGATGGGTAAGCAAAGAACAGACTGGATGCGAGGCCCTGATTCCAGTCCAGTACCTCTTGGAAATCGTTCATCCTGAATAATAAAGGGAAAAGATTTAAATTCAGTGAAAGAAACAGGATCATTAAGTTATGATTGTTATTTCTATTAGATATTGCCATGATACTTACAATCAATAATAAGCAGTCCTTTTCAAAGGAAAACCAAATGTAACAATGGTCACCATAAATCTTGTTAAAGAAAATTATTTTTAACAACATGAAATCTATACATCCAATACTGCTTTAATGCTTATTTATCCTTATACAGTATAAATTAATGAATTAATGATATATGTTAATTTCATGCAGTAATAATAAAAGTAATCATCACCTGTTTTCTATGTGCCAGAAATACCCTAAGGGCCTTATGGGTATCATGTCACAGGGAAAATTACTCCAAATATATATATAACCTTTTTTTCTCTTCTATTTTTAAGGTTAGAATAATACAGAAGCATATGTTAGTAATATTCTAACTGTACTTCTAAGGCCCATACTAAGTATTTAAATCATCTAATGATTATCAATTATTTATCATAAAAAATAAAATTGTGTTTAATAATTTTCTAGCTTAGCAAATAACTCAAAGGAAGAATAGAGAAATAGAATTAATTAAAATCAAAAATGCCAATTCTATTTATTCAAATACTACTGTCTGTAGAAAGCTATTGGGCATCAATTAGAAGTGTGAATTGAATCAAGAATAGTACTAATGTATACTTACTGTTTACAGATCTTTTGAAAGCTTGCACACACAATAGAACATTTCGAACGAGAACTTATATAGCATCTACTTTTAGCTCTCCCTCTCTCCCTTCTTTCCTTCCTTTTTCTTTCCTCCTCTCTCTCTCTCACTTTCTATAAAGTAACTAGTTACCTGATTTGTTCAAGGTCATACAGATAATTAGCAACAAAGCAAAACTAAAATCCAGGTTCATGACTCCACTTTGGCATTTCAGAGCAAATTCCTTATTGTACCTGTCGCTTTTAAAGTCTGTACCCCATGTAGTGACATATCATTGAAGTGCTCACATGTACTGTGGAAGACTGCACTAAGGGGTCCGCTTTGTCATGTCTCTCTGTATCCAGGTCCTTTGTTAGTACCCTCCAACGCTGAGTCTGGGCCTGCCCATGTGATTTGCTCTGGCTAATGGTAGGGTAGTAAATTTGTTGTAGGCAGAGGCTTGAAAACACACTTACATGTTTCTATCACTTCTCTCAGACTCCTGCTACCATCCTAAGAACATGCCAGGCTAGCCTCACTGGAGGAGAGTGAGAGACACGTGGAGAGCTGAGGCCATAAGACACCAGTCAGCACCTAACTGATGGCCAGTTGACCTCAGACTCATGAGCAAGCCCAGGTGACTACAGCACAGATCAGCAGAATGGCCCATTCCTTAGACTCAT